TGATAAAGACTATCTTTAAATTGTAGTTAAAAAATATGAATTTAACTTTTGGATCAGATTAAAAATCAACTAATGTTAAATTTTTTATAGAAAATAAAGTGAAGGTGAAATAGCTTCTTTTAAATTTAAGTTTGTTTGAGTTTTTTGAAATAAAATCACTTTTAGAGAATGATTTCATTTTTTTAAATATTGGTTCTACTTATTCAAATATTATGAAAATGATAATCCGATATTGAATTATAAAAATATACTTGTCAATATACACTCAAGTTCTTTTCTCGTTACAAGAAAAAAAAAAGTTGTTTTTTTTATATGATTAGAGAGTTAGAATCAAGTCTGAACGATCATACTTAATTTCGCATTTTAGCCAGCGTTGAAAGCGATTTTTAAAAGTAATAAGACTTTTGGAAGGTCTAAAAACAAAATAAAGAAGGGAAAATATTTGTCCTTTTAAAATATATAAATTTATGTCATTTTAGATGAACGACGACGTTATTTTGATGCATAATTGGTATTTTTTATATTTTCTTTCCTCCACTTTCTCTCTATTCCTAATTTTATGAAACATAGAGAATATAAAAAATCAACAATTATGCATCAAAACGACATATTTTATCTAAAATGACACAGAGTGATGTCCTTTAAAAAAATACTATAAATAGCCATAGGTTTGTGATGCCAAAAATATTAGAATTATTTGAGTGCCAAGTTGCTTTACTTGTAATTTAGTCTCTCCTTTCCCTTACTCATTAAGTTTTTATTCTTTCATATATATATATATATATATATATATATATATATATATATAAAGAAATCAGAATTTTAAGATAATAAAAAAATATTATAAATAATACCTTAACACCAATGATTTAGTTAGTAACTCGGAATAGAAAAATTAGCTCAAAGTAATTTACTATAATGCTATAAATTATAGTTCTAGTTTTTAAGGGTGCGATAATATCTTTAGTATCTTTTTTTTCATCAAACACGTGTCTTCGTCCTTAAAAATCACATGTCTTAAGTTGAATTTTAATTTCCCAAAACAAAAGTTATTTGACTTTTTCTTAATTTTTAAATTCAATACTCTCAATTCACTCTTTTATTTCTCTTACTTGTTAATTAGAAATAAAATTTGATAATTTTCATTTTCTTAATCATATATTAATTTATTTATTTAAATTAATTTTTACATAATTTAATAATTATTTCTCTTAAATATATTTTTAATTCATTTTAATTAAAAATACTCGTATACACTTTATATTTGCTAGAAGGAATAGTAAAAGTTGCCCAAATGTCAGGCTAATTATAACCTAGAATAGACCGACACCCGATTTTAAAAAATATTTGTCAGTCGGATACCGACACGTTTTGACACACATCTGATATGTGGTCAATATTTTGGGATACGCTGTCAATACTTTGACACGCTCTGACACGTTTTTTTAACACGCGATCAATTTTTTCACACACGTTGTCAACGCTTTGACACGTATCCGACACTTTTTTTTTAAGGTCTAAATTTTTTTATTAATTAAAAATAAAAAATTAATTTATAAGTCAACTTTTTTCTATTTTGGAATTTGACATAAAAAATTAACAAGGTATGAAAAATTACTTTTGTTTTATATTTATATTATGAAATTTGAATATTTGATTGGTTATATGACTTATTGTGGACTGTGTTATGTATTAAATATAAATATCAAAATGTATCTTAACATGTCAAAAAATAACATATTTAAAATTAACGTGTTAATATATCATATCGTGTCATGGGTCGAGTATCGTTTCGATTCATAATAGATTATAACCTCGATGACCTCCTACTTACTGGTTTGTTTTATATAGTCAACAACTCGCTGTTTGGTCAATTCTGACATAGGCTAAGCGAGACTCCGGTTTTGTAAATCATGCTCCAAATTCCAAAAAATTTAATTGTGAAAAAGACAATTAAATCAATTTAAATTAATTTTAATATAATTATTGTGAAATTATTTTCATTTTTTATATATTAATTGGATTAATTGTTTATTTTAACATGTTATGCCCGGACACAACTAAAAATAAAAAATAGCAGTGGGTGATTGGGTGCTATACATATATTAGTATTTTAAAAGAGATAAAAAAAAAATTCAATGTTTATAGATGTTTTCCGAAAATCAAATGATGGTAGAGTAGTTGGAGCATGAGAACTGAACAAGTTTGGAATGTGAGAATGTGTTCAATCCTCCTCAGTATTATTTTTTAAAGGAATTTAAAACCTCAATTTTGAAATCCGACCTAAACAGAATTGTCTATCGTGGAGGATACATGTGATTTATCCAAAAAAAAAAAAAAAAATCTAAATAAATGTTCTCCGAAGTTTAATATCACATGCAGAGAATTTTGTTCACTTTGTGGTGCTACTGCTACTTAGACTGTACTGTACTTGCGTACTAGGAGTCTTTATGAAAGAAATAAGGAATGCCATCTTTTTATTATAGGATTTTTCATTGGGTAATCTTGTTACCAAGAGAGAGAGAGAGAGAGAGTATCGATGATGATTCTTGAGTAGCATCAAGTTGATGCAAACTAATATCTTGTGTACGTGAACTTTAACAAGAATGACATAACGAGTAACAGCTTTTGGCTGACTTCCTCTTTGTTTCGTAACTTGTCTTATTACCTACACTTTGGACAACTTCTTGTTTCATGAAGAAGAAAACCGTCACGCAATTTGGCCTTGTCTAGATATTTATCGTGTATTCAATGAGGGGCTTTCGTTTCCAATGCTTCGACTCTTACGGTCTCGTTTGACATTATTCCTCAATTCAGCTACAGACAAAAGGGTATATGGGAAGCGAAGGCAGGGAGAAGAACTACACAAATTTTTAGTTTGACACGGTCTACCAAAACAACGTTCAAAACAGTTAACATACATAAGGCATTCGTTAGAATCATAGGTACATTTTTAACATAATTCACATATCTGTATACATGATCATTGCTGAATGTAATGTTTATGTTAGAAAGTGTCTACCAGTTAAAAAAAATTCTGGGTAAAACTATTTGTTTCCCGGGTACCTCACTTTCTTTCAAGCTCATTTGTTAGATAAGGGCAGGATCACTATATTCTCCCTCTAAATCATAGTACCCGATACATGGTAGAACAAACAATGAAGGTTATGCATGTCGGCTTCTGTTCCATTTGTTACCCAAGAAAGAAGCAGCCTAAACGGTATGATAACAAATAGGTTTAGCTACGGTTTTACAATTTTGTAGCTTCTTGTTGAGAAAGTCATGGACTCTATAATGCCAGCTACTAGGAAAGTGCCTCAGCATCAATTTATTAAAGGGGTTAAAAACTCTGTAATTCCGCTTTTTAAGCAATATATATATATATATATACACACACACACACACGGTAGCAGTAAGAGAAACAAAGTGAAAAACCTTTATGTGAAAAAGAAAAAAAAAAACTATAGGTGGAGGTGAGGTTACCCCATTCCAAACATAGAGCATATCACATAGAATTGTTTACAATAGTATTTTATAGATTGCTGGCAGCAAAAATCAAACATAAGGCTTAGAAAGTGCTTAAATCCTTACCTGATACATACTATTTGTAAGTGAGATACTTTTTTTCTCGAACTAAACGTAATAATCAAGAGTTGTGATATTTGCATACTTTAATTTCGCAAATATTTTCTTAGACTTTTATTTTCACAAATCAAACATAAGGTGGACTGACCTGATCCATTTAGAAAAAGTTAGAGTGGAAGAGGTCATCCGAAGAATTATCTAGATGTCGAGAGGTTTGAACAAATAGAATCTATGCATTGTTATCTAATACTTAACAATTAATAAAAGTCAATCAGCAAAAGATAGACAGTGCATTTCAGCACAAGTCTGGGCCCAAAACCCATATGGTCTCAATTCTCAAATAAGATTACTGTGGTACTGCCCATTTTAAGTGCAAGCAACATTAAACGGGTCCCCTCTATATGGCAATGGACTACTAGGCCGACCTAAAATTTGGGTTAACTCAGCACTAAATTTCAAAAATCAGCTCAGGTTTGAGGGTAGCCGGTTCCCAGTTCAGTCAAACACTTTCAAGTCCAGATAGGCTGCGATAATGGATTAAGTTCACAGAGTTGAACTTTACCTTCTACCCCAAAAGAACCACTTTCCTTCCTTTAAATTCAAAGATCTCTAGTAACCTCCAATTTGTTTAAAATGTATGAACAGGCCTCCTAGCAACAGTTAGGAAGACAATTCACATGCTCAGATATTTTTGTGTACACTCATCATTTCTAGGAGTTTTATGCTCTTAGCCTGCCTTCATTTGTCCACCCTTCACAAGCTTGTTCTCTATTTTATCATATTTCTTCTAAACCTATTATGTTTTCTTAATCTACTTTGTGTGTCTATAATCTTTCCTTACACATGAATATTTTGTAGGCGCTATGAACATGCATGATGGATCTAACAAGAGGAAAAGGCAGCATGCTTCAACCAGAAGATAGAAACCATGGGAGCCATGACCATATACATACTCTCTAGAGACCTTGAAGATATTTGTTTATGCCAACGAAAAAAGTGATGTAAGTCTTAAAGTTACTAATAAAAAGCCTTCAAGTCAACAACGGTCAGAATTTGAGGGTTGCTATTTGGTTCATTAGGTAATATTGATGTTTGAAGGAATGAGAAAAGCTGTACCGAAAAACATCGAAAGGCATCAGAGGACACTACCAGATTCACGGAATAGGGAGCTTTCTCAGATGGGCTTTATGATAGAGCTGCAGAGAAACTTGAACCAAAAACTATAAAATACAGGAAGCCAACGCGAACGGTCAATATGTAAAAAAATTATAAAAGCATGTTTTTAACAAATTCATAGTCAAAGAAAAATATCCTACATCCAAAATCTATATTAATATAAACGAAAATGTTATAACCACAAGTCTTTTTTAATAAGCAAAAACGAGATTAATGTAAATGGCTAAGCTGCACATATATTACAGATATAATTGACCAGTCCAAGGATGGGGCAGTTTGAAGAGGGAAAATATAGATGAAAATTTAAAATGCACTGTAAGCTTTCTTTATTGGGGCTTCAAGTGTAATGTTCGACAAATTCGCTAATTTCTACCATGACTACTTTAAGCTGATTTTCCTATTGATACTGACTACAATAATTATTGACTTCAACACATGAACATTGAGGATAATGTACAGCAGTACACCAGTACGACATACCTACCAATTTGAAGGATGACTAGTCCTCTTTTCTCCCAATTCATCAAATGGTTCATTTAAGATCGGAACTGTAGGAGAGGAAGGAAAACCTAGGGAAAAAGAAAAGTAGAAGGCAATGGATGATAAATTAAGTTACAAGTTTTCTTTGGCTCCATATTTTAACTCAACAAAATTGCTGACAATATCTCTCCCATGGTCTTCTCAGGCATGTCACCTTCATTAATCACCTCCATGGACTCGAGGACAGCAGCATCCAATACTAGCTTTCTCTTTGCAATCTCATAAACATTTTCATCAACTGTTCCCCTAGTCACCAGCCTGCAGAGGAATAAGCCATAAGAAAACAGTCCAGTAGAGCATTCAAATAGAACCAATTTATAAGGTTTAGTTTTTATCCAAAAAAGAAAAAAATTACAAGGTCTAGTACTTTTCCTAATGCTAGTGGGAGGGAAGGAAAAGGATGTACAAATACCTGTATATGGTTACAGGCTTCGTTTGACCAATTCGGTGACATCGATCTTCAGCTTGTCTATCAATCTGTGGATTAAAATCCATGTCATGAATTACAACGGTATCAGCTCCTGTTAAGTTCAAGCCTTGTCCGCCAGCTCTTGTGGAAAGCAAGCATGCAAATATTGAAGTATCATTATTGAATGTATCAACTATTGTTTGCCGCTCTGCTACCTGTGTACTGGCAGTCAAATAGTAGGACATTAAAGACTAAGGGAAAGCAGCATTTGGTGAACAATACAAGAAAATGGTTCACACTTTATACACAATCACACACCTCTTCAATGGAGAGAGGAAGACTGAATTGAATACTCCTTGTTCTCTTAGTAATTAATAATTCATTGCAGAAAAAGCAGCTAAAAGTCCATCTACTTTTGAGTTGCTTGTGATCGGAGTAGCAACATTACTCTAGGCTTATTACTCTAGTCGGTTGAATTACTCTAGGCTTATCTACTTTGAGTTGCAGAAACATAATTTCGAGCTATGGCTCAAGGTATCTGTGAGTTATTATGGCTGAAAATCATTCTCAATGATCTCAAGGTGAGATATGAAGGATCTATGAAGTTACTTTATGATAACAAGTTAACTATCTGTATAGCCCACAATCCAGTTCAACCCGATCGAACCAAGCATATTGAGATTGATCGCCACTTCATTAAAGAAAAATTAGACAGTGGACTGATCACTACTCCATATATTTCTTCTAGTCGTCAATTGGCTAATGTCTTAACTAAGGGTCTTCTTAATGATAGATTTCAAGAACTTACTAACAAGTTGGGAATGATAAATATCAATTCCTCAGCTTGAGGGAGATAAATGTAAATATTAGAATTATTTTATTATTTTATTATTTTGTAATAGTTAGAATACTCTAGAAGCTTATTTGAGCTTAGCCCATTAAGTCTTTTTAATCTCTCTAAATAGAGAATTCTTGCACAGATATACTTACAATTCAATTATATACAAATCCTTCTTTTCAATTTCTATCAAGAATTACCCACTACTATCTCTCACTTTTTTTGTGTCCCAATTGGGGTGTTTAAAAGTATAGATAAGTTGTAAGTGTATCATTGAAGGATAAGTGGGTCTCGGACTCTTTGGAATTGGTTTCCAAAAATATTGCTCGGGTGGTTAAATAGCTATGGGGTTGTCCTTGATATACTTTGCGGCACCAATTTATTAAAAATGTATATCTTAAACCAACCACGGCAGCACACAAACAAAGACAGCAATCAATGCAACAGTCTTAAGTTGTTCGAATATTAGGAGTCTTATTGTTTTACAAGTCTTACGATGTTTTTAGTCATATCGGGTTGGACAGTAGAAGACTTGTAAACCGGTTATTTCTTGAAGTAGCAACATCCAGCCACTTGTTTACATTATTATGTAGCCACTTGTTTTGAATAAGTTACTTAGAATTTGGAATAAGTTCAGATAAATTATTATATTTTGACTTGACAAAGTTTGGAAGGACTACGAGCAAGGAGAGCACAAAAATTATGGTGGCATACAGTTTTTGTAGCTCTTTAGGGAGAATTCGGTTCAGAGGTAGTCTTATATTACTCGGAATGTTGAGGCATATAACATTCCTATGTTTGGTTCACGATTTGAAAAAAGATTCCCAAGCATAGTTTTTTAGGACCATTCCCACCAAATCATGGCCCCAAGAGGATTTCGGTTAAAGGTCATTCCCAAGCCAAAGGAATGTGATAGAGCACCAATTAAAAAAGGTATAGAAGGAGAAAGGGTAGGACTGCACCAGATTCAAACTAAAAGGTGCTGACATGGACTAACATGGAGTGTGTGAGTTTGTTAGGAATATTCTAAATGCTGTCATGAGGGAATATATGTGGAAAAAGCGGGGAAAGGAGGGGGCATCAAAGGAATTGGTTAGTTTTGGGGTAAATGGGAGGAAGCTGACCTCCCTAAGGATTAGCATTGTATCTTTCGTTTCCATAAATTTATTTTTCTTTGTTACACACTGTAATTTGCAGTAACTCTTACTTTATCATCAAATGCCAATACGAGGGATTCTGGTTCTTTGCTTTTACTATCCAATGGCTGTTATTTCTTCACCACTTTATTTCTGATACCCATCAGAACGATTCTAGTCTAACACTATGATTCGCCTACCCACCATTTCCTTCAACTACATTATTTCTGCCCCTGTCCACCCATTTTGCTGCCATTTTCATCCTTGCTGCCATTCACCAATGTCTCCGGACTCTTGGCAAAATTTCTGGCCTTCCATCAACACCTTCAACTTCCACCTTAACAAACTCACCAAAACCATCCTCCACACCCAACCCAAGAATCTCATAAATTACAAAAATAGTGAATCTAGCATCAGTAATCATAATGGAGGCCATGGACACTGATCAACCTCCATTGACGTTGATAAACACCTTCAACCAATGCTGGACCAGTTTCCCTCCAACAGGATGACAACAACGTCATCCTTGTCAATCCACACCAGCATTCTCTGTCTCAGCCATCCGCCTGCCATGGCAGAGTCCCCCTAGCCACTCTTGAATGATGGCATCTCCACCACCCAACAAATTGCGGACTTGGGCCACACCCTTGTCACCACTCTAGTTCAATCCATTTCCAATTCCAAAACAACAGAGGGAGGGAGCACAGATTAAGTGCGTCCGATTTATCTTGGGCATTGCAGAGAGCAAGTGCTCATAAGAAGAATAAGCACTGGAGGAGGAGAGGATTGTCCTCTTTGGCTAGTTGCCAGGAAGAAGGAAACTTTGTTTATTTTCAGGAATATTTTTGTCTTGTAATCAAACATTCTTGTCAGTAGGTTTCTAAGCCCACATATGAATACAAAACATGGGGATGACAGTTTCTAGGAATACCATACCAGGAATATTATTCCTTGAAATCATACTACCAGGAATGAAAAATCAACTCCTGAACCAAACACCACTTCAGTGTATCCAGGAGGAGGGAAAGATCATATTCCCTTGTCTACTATGTTATGCTACTTTGTGATCCTTAGAACTGTTGTGTGAAAGGATAATTTACAGGTTTCATGGTTTCTTTTTGGGACTCCATTGACAGCTTGTTTGAGGGAACCACACTAGTAGAAATGCAGAGATAATAGAGATCAGTATCATTGATCTTGTTTCTTTTTGCTGTTTTCTGTTTTATTTTCATTGTTACTTTTATGCAGTATTTCCTCAATTCCTCTGATAAAATTTATTCCTTTTGCCAACAGAGAGAGAGAAGCTGCAGCTTGTCTAGATCTTACACAATAAATAGCTACAATTTACCAAATGATTCACAGCTTTGCCTATTGGACCCTGATGAGCCTTCAATTCATGTCATCTTATCGCAGAAAGGATGGGGAATAAGGCTAGATTTGGGAAATATTTATTTTTTTGGGGAAAGGGGGAAGGAGGGACAGCTATGCAAGAAAAAGGTGGCTCTAACAAAATGGACATTTGGCAGCAGGGAGTTAATGTGGAGGGTACTGGGATAGTGGAAGGGCACGTGAATTGGAAGGGAATGGAGGGAGGTATAGAGGGCATTTGATAGTTTGGATAGTCGGGAGTGGGTGAAGCCATAGTGCAGACATAGCATTTTGCTTCTTTGATTTTTCCTCGATGGGCCTCAAATTCATGTTATCACAGAAATGAGAGGCAAAATAAGGGTAGGTTGGGGAATGAGCTGTGAATTATAGCGGAGGGCGATGGTTATGCAAGAAAATGGTGTCTCCAACTGAATGGACACATGGCAGAAGGGAAGGGAACACCAACTTGAATGGAATGGAGGGCTTTGTAGAGGGTATTGGATCATTTAGGTAGTCTGGGGTGGTTGAAGCCACAGGCCAGAGATAGCCTTTTTCTTCTCTGATATTTCCTTCTTTGTTTTCTGCATTTTCTGTTCTTGAGAGGAGCTAGTCTCAAATGTTTTTATCAGTAAAAATCAGTTCCTATCAGACTCATAGTTTCTACATTCTACCTTGCATAAGCATGCACAATATTAATGCATAATTAAAAAAAAAAAAAAAAAACTTAAGGAGATTCAATGTAAATAAACCACCAGCTTCATCACTACCATTAGGCTGTTGGTCTACTGGTTCCCGCACCTTGTTATATGCAGGTCAAAAACGAAAAAAGCTTCAATTTTTCTAAGCAGCAGGAAATCACACTTGTATCTGTTTCTACCCAAAAACGTAACCCATTTACATTCCAAATACTCATTCAACCCTCAAACAAATTTTAGCAACTTCACTTTTGTCACACAATATATACGTTGAGATATATAAAACCATTAGTTTAACCTCACCCAAAAGCTTGTTGAGATATATAAAACCATTAATTTAACCTCACCCAACAGTTTAAGCTTTTGAGTTGATTTGGTTCTTTACATAGTATCAGAGTCTGGTTGTACCGGGTTCGATCCTCGCTGTCCCCCACTTTCTTTCAAGTGGAATTTCTTTGTTTGCACAGGTAGGTGGGCCTGTGCATTGTCCACCCTTCAAGCCCAGTGGACTCCCGTGTGAGGGGGCGTGTTGAGATATATAAAACCATTAATTTAACCTCACCCAATAGCTTAAGTTTTTGGGTTGATTTGGTTTTTTACTGTTTGAGTTCTTGAGAGAATCCATAGATGAGAGAAAGAGAGAGAGAAGAGAGAGAATGTATGAACTGTATTATGTAATCTGAATGTACAGTGTGCACTCTATCAATATATATATAGAGTGATGATCTAACTAATTGACAGCTAACACCTAACAGATCTGTAACAAATTGTATAGGAAAGTATCTGAGACATGCGGGTACATTTAAAGAAGCTACAGCTATATATATCTAATACACCCCCGCAAACTCAGGGATCTTGAGTCACTGAATCAAGAACTCTGAGTTTGGCTCTTAGATTTGTAAAATGTCCAGAAGGAAGAGGCTTTGTCAAAGTATCTACCAGCTGATCTGAGGCAGGAATATGATGGACAATAATCTCATGTGCAAGCACTTTCTCTCGAACAAAAAAGATATCCAGTTCCATGTGCTTTGTGCGGGCATGCAGAACAGGATTATAGGAGAGAGCCACTATGCTAAGGTTATCACAGAAGACATGGGGAGTATCAAAGGAGACTTGTAATTCACAAAGAAGAGACTTAATCCACAAGATTTCAGCACAAGTGCTAAACTTCTATATTCAGCTTCA